ATCAGAAATACGAAAACACAAAAACACGCAAAGAAAAAGGAAAACCAAGTGAATACCTAGGTAGTAGGAACAACAATCTCACGCAGGGCTCCTCTGTCTTGGTCTAGAGCCTCCAGCATGGTCGAGATCCCGACGTCAAGACCCTCCCACTCCATGCTCTCGGCATGATCGTCGAGTGAGAAAAGTGCCGACGTCGGATCCTGAGCGGCCATCCACTAAAGCGGCGGCTCCCCCCGCATGGGGGAGCGGCTGCCCCCCAACAGAGGGGCCGAGGGCGGCTCCCTCCTAATCCTACGTGGCACCACCACCACGCCCGATGACCCTCCAGCCATGTCCACCTTCATCCGATCCGCCTCGTCCGCCATGGCCGGGGCCACCGGTGGCATCGATTGCGCCAACCCATCGGACGCCATCACATCAACATCCAGCTCCGCCGGGCTTGGCGCCGTCGTGGCCACTTCCACCTAGGTCTCCGGTGGCATGGACTGCACTGCGTCCTCAGGCACCACCTCTGTCGACGCTACCAGACCATCGGCCGGCTGCACCACGCCCACCACGGAAGATGCCGCCTGCTCGGCAACCACCAAGGGCACGGGTGCCACCACAGGCGCCGTCGGATCGGCCAACACAGCCCCAACACCAGGCAGCGCCATCTGTCCCACCTGAATGGCGAGGCTCTTCTTGGGCGCCGGCCCCAGGGGGTGGCCCGTCTGCAAGAACCTACACAAAGGTAAAAGGCATCATGTCAAAATAGAAAAGGAAAAAGGAGAAAAAACAGGGGAATCAGCGGCTTACGCTGACGCCTTCGGCCGGCGGAAGCATTTTGGGGACGGATCCCAGCCCTGACTCGTCTGGGCAGGACAGTTTCTAGCCTGCCCCCTGCTCCGAGGCAGGGGGGCTCGTCTCCTTTACCTCATGGGGCGCGGCACCAGAGCCGCTCCCCTGTCCCATCTCATGGGGCGAGGCACCAGAGCCGCTCCTCTCCACCATCACCTCGGGATCAGCGGCGGCAAGCCCGCCTCCCCCCATCCACCGATCCTCGGCCGGCACGCCGTGTGAAGCGGCGGACTCTCCGGCTCCCACCGACCTCACCAACTCACTTCCCTCCGCGTGGAACGGGAAGGGTCCCTGCACAGACGGGTGGGCACTCGTCAGCACGTCCTCATCCTCCAGGATGCCCCAATCCATGTCGATGGCTACCTCGTCGTCATCGTCATCATCATCATTGCTCACATTCTATCCCCGGTCCCATGCTTCCTGCTTTAGTCGTCTCTCCTTCTTCATCTGTTCCCTCACCTTCTCGTCCCGCTCGGCCGCGAGGCGATTCGCCGCCGCTAGGGCCTTGTTCTTTGGTAGTGGAACCAGACTGTCCTTGAAGGCTAGCCCCCCGGCTGGTCCCAATGTCGCAAAAACGAGTATCAAAAATATGGAAATTCAGGAAAAAGGAAGAGCACGGGAAAAGAAGGCTTACGAATTCGAAGAACCTAGGTTTCGGCCGCATTGGGGGATGTCCAGGCACAGGATACACAATGTTGAGGACGCCGCCCGTGGAATCCTTCGTCGGCTCCGTCGCCTCCTTAATGCGCTGCGCCACTTCGGAGAAAAGGAGCACCTCGTTGACAATCACCATCCCCTCGAACGACATCCCGGGCACCATCCAATGTAGGGGAAGCGCGCGCGCCATCAGCGGCGCCACCCTCCTCGCATGGTAGGCGCCGATGATGCCCGCCCCCTTTACGCCCCGTTCCTTCAGAGCTTGGAGGGCGGAGAGAAGGTCGGTAAGGTGCTTCTTGTCCTTGAGCTGGACGCCCCAAGTCCACGACTCCGGAGCCTCTTCAATAAGGTGCCTGGTGTACCTCGGTAGGGCGGCACTCAGGTCATTCCTGACATAAAACCACTACGAATGCCATCCCTTGTTAGAGGTCGCCAGACGCATTAACGGGTAACCCCTCGACCGGGTATGGCGCAGATGAACGCTGGCACATCCCATTGGCACATTCACCTCCTTCCCCCCGATCCGCCTCTTCGACAAACTGACGGTGAAGAAGTATCGCCACAGATCAAAATGGGGATCGATCCCCAGGAAACCCTCGCACAGAGCAATAAACGCTGCCATATGTTGAATCCCATTGGGAGTTAGATGCTGTAGCTCCACTTCATAATAATCCAGCAGCCCCCGAAGGAATCTATGCGTGGGTACGGCAAATCCCCGCTCATGGAAGATGGCGAAAGACACGACATACCCTTCGGGCGGCGCCGGCTCATCCTCATCACTAGGCAGCAGCCACTCCTAGACGGCGGACAGTGGACGGAGAAGGCCACGGCGGACGAGGCCCTCCAAACGCCGAGATGTGATGCCAGATCTACCCCACAACTCCATTGAAGCGATTGGGGAGAAAGGTGGGTGGGTGCGAGCTCAACGATGGCTGCGAGGCGGGCGCAAGCTTGACGGCGGCTGCGGCACGGATGCAAGCCGATCGACAGTGGCGGTGCGGGCGCAGGAGGCTAAAGGCGACTAGCGACGGAGGTTCCAGACACGAAGATGAGAAGGCGGAATACAGGACCCTGGGGGCGAATCCAGTGGTTTTATAGGGGCGACGGATGCGAGAAGTGCAACCGCCCGCCTCGATCCCCGGGCCTGCCACGCGCGCCGTCGCGTCATGTCGCGGGACACGCGCCCGCAGTCCCTATCCTCTCCCGCCGAAAATCACGATGGACGGTTCGCCTTCCCCAGGCGAATCCGGACTCTCTTCCCACTTGGGGGACGCAAGTCGCAAAGATTTTTTCTCTTTGGCCCACCTAGGGCCCAGAAGCTCGGCAGCCGGCCCAGCTGAGGATGGGTCCGCGAACAATCCAAAATCAAGGGCGCAAGCATTACTGGGGTCTCGATCCATAGTCAAGCCCCAGTCAGGTCAGCCCTGAATGAGATCCCCGCGACCGGGATACCACGACCCCCACGGAAAAATATCCAGCTGACAAGAAACCTAAATCTTACGGACTCACCCGCGGAGGGCCCAATACTAATCACCCGAGGGCTCAGGGACTACACCCACCGGGTGCGCTCGCGCGCACCCTCTGGAAAGATAACTCCAACGAGATCGAAAAGAAAAAAGCCCCCGGGCGATTCTACTCGAATCGCCCGAGGGCTCGGGGACTACACCCACCGGGTGCGCTCGCGCGCACCCTCTGGAAAGATAACTCCGACGAGATCGAAAAGAAAAAAGCCCCCGGGCGATTCTACCCGAATCGCCCGAGGGCTCGGGAACTACTGTCGGGGACCTAATACCGGGGTACCCAAGGAGGTGGAACTAATAACCATCGAACGTTAAAAGCTCCCGACGGACAAGAGCACGGCTGCACTTCTTGCCCGAACGACGGGAGTTTTTGTTTCGCCTCGCCCGAACGCCCGTGGACCCGCTCCACCTTACCCGACGGCTGGAGGACGACTCCGCCTCGCCCGACGGCTGGAGGATGACTCACCCGACCCCCAAGGGATACACTCCGCCTCGCTCGACCCCCAAGGGCTGGGCTCGGCCTCGCCCAAATGACCGATGACGAATCTCGCCTCACCCGATATTCGGAGGCTGACTCCGTCTCACCTGACAAATCATGTCCTGCGAACCCTCATGATGACGGCTATAGGGTAAGACAAGACGTTCGGATCAACCACAGCGTCAGACGCCATGCCCTGCACCACAGCGTCAGACGCCATGCCCTGCACCCCTGCAAGGAAGTACCGTCAGGATGTGACAGACAAGCCTTTGGGACCTCCCTAGGCGTGGCGAGCTCGAATAGCGGTGTGCTTGGCGCGCTGCTCTCCGCCCTCTGATATCATAGGCGCCGCCGTCAGCCTCCGGACGAAGGACCCGACATGGACATACGACAACCACGACGTCCCAAGGGCCAACCAACAGTCATCACGCCGTCCGACCCCCACGGGGTCGGGGCTCGACAATCCTATCCGACCCGCCACCCGCGGGGGCGGGATGGGACACCCCACTTGCTAAAAAAGGCCAGGGCATGGCCTACGAAGATCGATGGATACGCTACTTCTGACACAGTCTGCCGTGATAGGCAGGGCAGGCGTGGGGAAGAAGGAAGACTCGGGTCTCTCAAAGGACCTTCTGCGCTCTTAGTATTTTCTCCTTTTCCCCCATCTGTAAACGCCTGCGCCCCCCCTGTCTATAAAAGGGAGGGCGGGGCTCCCCACTAAGGGGGAGGAGCGAGCACACGCACACACACCATACAACCTAGCAGCAACAGAGCTCTTGGCGTTCTTTCGACTACTCTATCAGGGACTTGGGATCTCTCCCTCTCCCAACCGTTTGTACCCCCTACTACAAACCTCATTCGGTGCTAATAACACGAGCAGCAACAGACTGGACGTAGGGACATTCGGCCCGAACCAGTATAAATCTTGTGTCCATTAGTGCACCATCCATGCCTAACGCGCATCAAGTATAAATTTAGTAGCCGGTATTTGTTTAAAACACCGACAGTTATTGTTGCAATATCAGATCAATTACGAGTCCAACAATCTACACGATATAGATGTCCCAACCATCCTGCAATAAAAATATAGCCGTGCCTATCTGGTAGAAAAAGTAGTTCAAATGTCGTTCTCTCATATTCAGCGCACGCAGTGTTAAAAAAGTGTTCTCAGATAGTAAGAAACACAAACTAAGAAGCTACAGCACGTGGTTTTCTCATACCATAATACAGCATGTTTAATTAAGCTACTCGATCATATATAATATAATAGAATAATAAAAGTAGAGCCACAAAGCTTCAAACACATTTATCGCAATCACACATACAGCCTACTACGTACAGTAGTATTTATAAGCCCCTCCTGTTCGAAGAAATCGACGCTTCGAACAGCATAGCAGAAGTAATTGAAGGTTAGTTTTGTTGTCCAAAGCAGCAAAATCTGACTGGAGAAGGAGGCTGTATTTCATCCTTGTCACCCCACCCCGCCAACACACCAAATACCGACGGCGATGGCAGCAGCGGAAGCGCAGAAGCTCCTGGAGGCGAGCACGAAGATCATCGGTGTCAGTACCAACTACATGGTCCATGTCAAGGATATGATCCCGGCAACGTTCCCAAGGTGCCCACCCTGTTCCTGAAGCCTACGTCGTCGTTCTTCCACGCTGGAACGGCCAACGCTGCCATCGAGGTGCCCGAGCCGCTGGAGTCTCTGCGCCATGAGGCTGAGTTTGCCATCGTCATCTCCAGACGAGCGCGCGACGTCCCAGAAGCATCTGCCATGGACTACGTTGCAGGTAACCAAGAAATGCTTTTGCAACCAGCAACGACTGCTCTCTGACTATTTCCAGCCCTTCTCCTCTTCGGACACAACTCATATAAGTCTAACATAACTATGCGGACATATTACTTCAAGTGATGATTGGGTTGCCATCGAGATCACCAAAACCACAAAATGACGAATATGTCTAAAAATTAGCACTAAAAATTAGCAACTAAAATTAGTACTATTAAATCCAAACAAAGCTACTAATAAACGTGCTAATTGTTAGCTGGAGGGCTGCTAACTATAAGTTCCATTAGCTGGTTTAAGTTTGCTAATAGTTTATATGCACCTTCAATTCACTATCCAACCACCTATTAGTAGGTGGATCCAAACATGTCCCTGTTAAAAATTACCTAGCTAAAAATTAGCAGCTATTAGCTATTAACTAGCTAATTTTTAGTGCTAATGCCTGGTGCGCACAATTTTTACACCTACAACATACCAGCTCTACTTGATAAAACACAAAGCTTTTCTCGTGTTCCCTTAATTATATGGGGTTAGAAGGGTAGGTCTGGTGTAGTGGTGGGCGCTGTCTCCCTGAGTCAACAGGTCGTGGGTTCAAAGCAGCATCTCCGTAGATTTTGCAGAGGCAAGGCTTGCCTCGGTTTTTTTCCTTCCCCATACCCCACTCATGTGGGAGCCTCCGGCACTGGATCTACACTTTTTGCCCTAATTATATGGGGTTGGATCGGCAAGTTACATGTGTTGGTTTGTGAGAATTGAAACAATTTGGTTTCTCATAAGATTCGAAAGAATCAGCTCCAAACACTATTTCTGGTCAATGTTTCGAAACTTGAACGATTCATCGTTCCTACATATGCACGCAAAATGGCAAGAGGTTGGTTTTGCACTGATTCTCCTCTAGCCGATTCCTACTTCTCTTTGATATTTTTGCACTTAATCGTGCAACAAGTTAAAATAGGTTGTATTTTAATTTGTACTTCATCCATAAAAGTTTTAGAATTTTTTTGGAGCATATTTTTATTTCTATGATTTCATTGAACTGGTTTTATAAAATGATTCTAATTCATCATGTGAAATATTATCTGAGTGAATTCAAATTTGAAAATTTTCTACAAGAATCTGGATCGCTGCCAAACACACCCTTAATAACATCTACAACCATAGATTCATTTATAATTTAAAGAGGAAGTTCATGATTAATGGAGGACAACGGGATCTTTTCTCAAATCTATATAAGCTAATGTATCTAAAACTAAATAGAAACTGATTTTTTATTGGATGTAGTAGCTTATAAGGGTATCAAACATTTGGGAATTTTACGCCCAGCCTGACCTAGCCCATAGAACATTATCCCTCTGTCCCATAATAAATAAGATTCTGAGGTTCAAAATTTGCAACCAAAGTAAATGACATTCTACACAAACATGAGACATCATCTCTCCATGCGGAAGCTAATCATTGGTGCATGCAGATGATAAACACCAAACCCAAGAGGAGATGGAGCGTCTTTTGCCAACATCCTTAATCTGTCCAAAAATTTCTAGAAACTTATTTATAATAGGACAGAGGCAGTAGTAGACAGGGCATAGCAGGAGAAATACAAACAAATAATGATGTATTTATTTGAAATATTCCTATAGTAAAAACTTGGGGGGGGGCACGCCCAGGTCTAACCACAAACTGATGACTTGACACAGCCCATATGATGGTCATGGGCACAATTGTTTAGCCCAAAACGAACCAAACTTTCTTTTTGGTCTTGGTCCAAAAAATTCTCAGGTCTAGAACAGAGAGTATAGAATATTCAATAGAAAGTACATCCACAAGCATACCTGATGACACAATTACGATAAAGTTAATAATAGTCATGGACTATGAAAAAAATATGTAAAATACAAACACATTGATTAGTAAACTTTTCGGTGACACCATTCCATAAAACCAAGATCTCAGTGTTAGCTGCCATATAGTGACAAACCTGTAGTAAATACCTCCTTTATGAAATATAAGGTATCCAAGCATTAAAAAATCTTGTCCCTAATTATAGGGGTACCTATTAGTAATGTCTTCACCAATCCAAAAATAGTAATCCCTATAATTAAGGAAGGGTACGTACATGGACCATTTGCTTTACATTATGTTCTACAATTCCTATGATATTTAGTATTTCAAAACAAATGGAGTAGTATACTATAACAGTTCTGTATGTCAACTGTGGCATGCATGCTTTACTAACATTGAAACAACAATTTCCAGGTTATGCACTTGCTTTGGACATGACAGCAAAAGAAATTCAAGTTGCTGCTAAGGTAGGTATTACTACATATAGTAACTGTGTGCTTTCTTTTTTGTTAGAGTATTTTTTTCTTAACTGGCAAATGTTATCCTGGTGATTCCTGAAACATACTCGGGAGCAAATCAGTCTCATAGTTTTATAAGTCATTTGTTTTCTAATATGACATATCATGTCTATTAGAAAAAATGCAGCAAGACCTCAATGATCCAGTACGTATATGTTTCATTTCAAATAATGATTGTTCTCATATTTCCATAAGAGTTAAATGTATGAGCGGCCCCTAAACCAGTCAAGGAATGCCATTTAAGTCCATAAACTTTGAAAACGCATTTTAGGTCCCTAAACTTTGAAAACACACCCTTTCTCAAGATAACTCTTTGTATAATCTTAGAAGTAAGCACAATGACTTGACGTAAAACTTCTATATACCTTGTATTTACTTATACTTATTATATGATATATTTGTAGTCTGCTGGTCTTCCATGGGCTTTGGCTAAAGGACAGGACACATTTACTCCAATTAGCGCAGTAGTAAGCAATAGTTTTTCTCATGTTCTGTGAAATCGAATTAAGCATAGTTGAGACATTAACAGATATTTTTCTAATTTGTAATATTACATACATGTTTCGTATTGAAATTAACAACAGAGTACATGGAATTTGCAATAGGTTTTCTCTATAGGCTCATTATAAATAACATGTGCTTCTCTAGACTTATAAAAATCAATATCATGGAAAAAGGGTGTCTGTCAGCGAGGAACAAACTGAAACCTCATCTCTTGCACGAAAGTGGTATCTGTATTGTCCCTATGATCCATACCAATCTTATGATCTGAAATCCATAATACCATTGGGTTGTCTCTTCTATTCTCACAAAGTATAATATCTCCACCAAACAGGTTCCAAAATCTGCTGTCACTGATCCCCATGATCTGGAGTTCTGGTTAAAGGTAATTATGCATAAATGGAGCGAACATATTTTTGCAAGACCTATTTTGATTTGGGAATAAGATTCACAAGCATATTTGGCCTTTCATTTCTCTTTTAGCATACATATTATCAATTAGATTACTTTGAAGTAAGAACCAAGTGATATGCATTTTAGATTAAAATTTGAACCTAGTTCAGTTAATTAGTTGTCAAAGCTTAGGAAGTTTTCCTTTTCACCTAGAAATAAGCTAAGGGAGTATATGGTATGGTGTTAGGTTGATAAGGAATTATATGATATGAGCTGCTGGATTTTGTACACATGGGGGATAATTCGTTACCCACCAAGCAACAATGTCATAAGCAAGCCCAGATTCATCATGAGCCGACAATTTTGGGATGAAAATTGCAGTTAGCGGGTCTTACTAGTGAGGCCATATTTTCTAAGAGAGTAAGCGATGTTAATGTTGGGCTTCGAGAGATGATCATTTCTCCCATGCCTAACAAGTAATCACTTCATTGCAAAATGTATATCGTTTTTATTTCAAACTAAGCCAACTTCTCTAAATTTGACTACTTTGTAAAAAATGGAATAAATTATGCTATTATCAAATGGTGATATATAACGGAGTCTCCACGTTAATCGTCATGAGACGCGCTAGAAAAAGATAAAGTCCTAGAAATTCTTGCTTCTGGATTGGGCGTCCGAGAAATTCTTAATAAAAAAGCAAAAAATGAAACAATGAGCTCTTTGTGGTTTAATATTAATTAGTAAATGTGTTGCGTGTTTCAACGGAACCCCATACGTATAGAAATCGGACTTCGCATCATGCTAGACGTGAGTTGTATATGAGCGCGCGTCATAAGTCCGGGTGACATACGAGATACAGAGGATGCAACCCAGTACTATTGGAATCAGACTCTGTATCCATCAACATTAGATGCAAGTTGTTCTAACTCGTATGAGTATGAGTCATGAGTTCGGATATACAATTAAAAAGAGAGTGACAAAAGAAACTCTTCGCTGTTTGGATATTTAGGGAGAGGTCGACGAAAAAAAATAATATGAAATTGGGTATAGATGTATATTCTAAAAACCTGATTAAAGTTAGAGAGAAGACTGATTTATTATTAGCAAATAAAATGGAAAAACGGTCTAGGTTCGGAATGGAGGCAGTAGGGGATTCCCCTCCTGTTTCTTCAAAAAAAAAAGGTTCGGAATGGAGGGGTTAACAGCTTTGAAGTTGCTGGATTGCTCTTTACGGGTTGATAGCAGCACGTGGGATTGTATGAATGTGTGCTGTTTAATTTGCTGACTAGAGTGTGTTGTTGACATGAGCGAAGAGAAATGAGAGGGCCAGACGCAGAGAGGGTAGAGTAAAGTAACTCGTGCTAGCTAATAACGGCGTAAAATGCAGGTGGACGATGAACTTAGGCAGAAGGGCTCGACAAGTGATATGATATTCAAGATTCCTTATATCGTGAGCTATATCAGTTCCATCATGACGTTAATGGAGGGCGACGTGATACTGACCGGTAATGAAAATTTTGTGTATCCACAGCTCGTGCTTTTAATTTGCATCGCAAAACTAATTAATACGGACTCGTTGTTGGATTATACATTCATGTGTTCCTCTGCGGCTCTGCAGGTACTCCGGCGGGTGTAGGTCCTGTCCGAGTAGGCCAAAAGATCAAAGCTGGCATTACTGGCTTCGTTGATATGGAGTTTGATGCTCAGAGGCGCAAGCGGCCGTCTTCTACCTAATGCAATTAATATATAAGCGCGAGAGACAGAGGGTAATAATGGTATGTGACACCTTTATTTTCGAGCATGTGGTCACTTATGCGGTTGCACTGGACATGTTTTTAGACAAACGATTTTTCAATTTATGCTCTCTGCAGGTGAATATGGATGCAGATCGAGCACAGCCGTCCTCAACCAGTGCAACTTCCTGGAGCAACTGCTGGAGATCGTTCTCTTGTGCCTCCTTGTTTGTATGTACCTATTATTATTTATATATTTGTGGTGAACTGGTGATAGAATAAGCCGCTGTGCCTATGCATACATGAACTTGGTTGTCCCCCATGGATGGAGATGTAATCTCTCAACACTTTGTGTGCAATATCATAAGGTAAAGGTGCGTGATTACTGAGGTATAGTTCCTCCCTCCCTTTATAAGTGTCATCATGGAAAGCGTGCCGGTCGATTTTTTTAGTTTTGGCAACATTTATATCTTTAAATAAATTTATTATAAAAAAATTAATATTTTTCATATATTCAATCAAAGTTCTCAGAAAGTGAAAACAATACGTAAAAAAGATGGAGGGAGTATGGGCCTGTTTGCTTTTCGGCCACAGGGTGCCACGGGAGTTGTGGCGGCGGAACTTGTGGTGGCCAAAAGGGACACCACAACTGTGGCGGGATTTTAGCACTGAGAAAGATGTGGCTGTCGCATGCATGTAACGAACCAAACAGCAGCCTTTGAGTGCGTGGCTCACCGCATGTTAGGTGTGGCGGACGATGGCTACGAACCAAACACCCCCTACATATTATGAAATTACAAATCGTTCCTGTTTAGTGCTTTGCTTGAGCACATGCGTCCGAGTAGGCAGTAGTGGATTCAGGGCTTAAATGAAACCCACGAGAAGCTCGAGGCTGCCTCCGAGATCGTTTATTTGTAAGCTTCTATAGAACGCAAAATTACAAATTCCTCAGCATGCGCTAGCGACGGAGCCCATACAGCTGCCCAGATCTTGCAAGAATTCCTAGAATTCTAGCATATATTTTGGCCATGTGGCTGTCCCCAGCCCAAGTGAACGTTAAGGCTGCAGGACTGCAACAAGCAAAAGACGACCCAGACGCATCGTACTCCGGATGCACAAGGTGACGTAAGTCTAGCTCGGCCCAATAGTGGCTAGGAAGGACTGGAATGATAAAAGCCCACTGAGGAGAAATGTCATATAAAGGCCTGTTTTTGTAGAACTTCTTCATATTCTCTGTGGAAAGGTGATTCTAAAAATGTTTCCCTAGGTTAAACTTTATGCATATAGTGACTCTTTGTGTGAAGTGAATTAGGAGAATCTACTTGTTTTAATCCACAACCCCCAAGATCGTTTTAGAGAATCACTCCACAGAATCAGTATAGAAAATCACTTCTCAATAAAGAACTATTTAGCAGAACTTTTCCTAAATTTAGCCTAGAAGCTACTCTAGGAGCTCTGGCAAAGAGGCCCTAAAATAGAGAGATATGGGAGGACAACTTGTAATTAAACAAACTTTTCACGAATCCAATCCTTCCTCTAGATTGAAACTATTCATGGTCTTCCCCTTCTTTCCTCTATTCCTATTTCTATATCATTTTACCAATCTCATAAGTTGTTAATATCTAATATCATAGACTATTCAATCCACTTCTAGTGTTTCTTCGATTCTCACAATTTCATCTATTGATTCGGCACTAAATTATTGAGTTCATGAATTCGGTTTGTTTCTAGTAGGGTGCTAGGTTGTGCTAGAATCCCCATAATTTTTGTCTTTACTGTTTGATTTGTGGGTAAATTGTTATCTTGGATCGAATTCCACATACGAGCACTTTACCTAGTTCCAGCAATTCCTCAACACCATAAATCACAAGATTAAGCGCATCGTCGCGACAAGATCTAGAAGCACTTCGCTAAGGAAAAGTTTGTATTGGAGAAACACCGCAATGACATTTTTTTGACTGAATCAGCAAGGGAGCCCCCTACCTATTTTTTGTTTTTCAATTAAATGAAAGAATAAGACTTACAGGAGTACGAAAAAACAAAATAGCAAAGAAAAAAGTACAAGGCACCAAGGCCCAAAAAGAAAAGAATGTGCATATTTACAAGTAACTATCTCTCCAAGCACTAAGTTTAACCTGCCTAGGAGCTTTGGCCTTGGTGCACACCAATCCAAATTCTTCTTTGAACTTCCTCTTCCACAAGTGAATATTAATTTGGCCATTGTCAAATACCACATCATTTCTGGTATTCCATATTACCCAGCAGGCAGTTATAGCAATTTCTCTAAAGATAGCATTGTTGAAATCAGCTCTTGCTTGTGACCATATCCAGAGGGGTGAGGTTTAGGTTCCAATCTATAGGAATAGTAGCCCAGCAGTCTCGACTGAATGGGCACTCAAAGAAGAGATGGAAACTTGTTTCTTCACATCCGAAGTTGCACATCACACAGTTATAGTCATCCAAATGCATGTTTTCCTTTTTAATATGTTCCTTGTATTCAATCTGTCTCTAAGAAGGAGCCAGAAAAAGAATTTATGTTTCCCAAGGTTACTTGAACCCCATAACCATTTGAAAAGAGATGCTGCAGTTGTACCAATGAGTGACCCATATGCTCTTTTACTACTGAATCTTGTTGAACCCCATATGTAGCTCCAAATATCATTAACATCTTCATCCCAAACTCTAGATTGTATAAGAGTTTGTGTTTCCATCAGTTGCGTTGCAGCTTGTTGGGATAAAGGTAAGCTGAATAATCTATCTTCCCCTTGCTCTATGAAAAATCTGATGGAACACTTTAGTTTCCTTGCAAAGAACAACAATTGAGGGTATTTATCTTTTAGAGCTAGGTCTGTCCATTTGTCTGACCAGAATAATAATGAGTTACCACTATTGGGGTAGCATGTGGCTAGCTTCTGATATTTGGCAAACAATGTCAGAATCTCCTTCCACCAAAAGGATCCAACTGGGCTTCTGGCCTGTGGTGGTGTTTGTTTGTTTTAATAGAATCTGGACCATGTGAGAGAGACCCAAGGTATGTCAGCCTTGTTAAAGAATTTATCTAAATATTTCATGAGTAGGGCATCATTTTGACTCTGGATGTCAATTATGCCCAGTCCTCCTTGGTCCTTTGGTTTGCAGGCAACCTCCCATGCAGCCAAACATTTTCCTTTTTTATTAATATCACCTTTGCTCCACAAGCAGTGCTTTCTGAAAATATCAATCTGCTTGATTACTTGGGGAGGGATTTTCAGGCTACACATATAAAAAGTTGGGAGAGCGGAGAGAACAAAATTAACCATTATCAGTCTACCATTATACGGCAGATGTTTACTGATGCCTGATAGCCTTCTTTCAATTCTTGTCAGAAGAGGAGTGAATTCAATGAGAGTAGGTTTAGTAGTACCAAGAGGGAAGCCCAAATAGGTGAATGGCATACTACCCACTTGACATCCAAAAGTATTAGCAAGGTGTGTGGCTCTGTCATTACTCATGTTAATAGGTACCAAAAAGGATTTTGCTAAACTAACATGCAGCCCTGTAGAATCTGAAAAGGATCTGAGCAAACCTTTGAGATTGAAAAGAATTCTTGCATCTCCTAGAAGTATGAGTAATGTGTCATCAGCATATTGCACAATGGGGAAATCATCTTGGAAAGAGTCACTAATTGGATGTTTGAGAACCCCACTGTGTCAGGCCTTCTTGACCACTGTCTGGAGTAGATCAGCAGCAAGTACAAACAGAAGGGGAGAGAGGGTCTCCCTGTCTTACACCTATCTTACAAGTGAAAGGTTTCCCTGGGATACCATTAAGCAACACAGAAGATGAACCACTGCTTAGGAGGTTGTTGATCCACTGAACCCACTTTTCTGAGAAACCTTTGTGCCTAAGAACCTACAGGATCACCTGTTGTTCTAATTTATCAAATGCCTTTTCAAAGTCAAGCTTTAGTATGATTATTTCCTTTTTTGATTGGTGGCACAAATGAAGAAACTGAAAGGACCATGCCAAACAATCTTGAATGGTTCTCCCCTTAATGAAGCCATATTGATTAGAATGAACCAGCTGGAGAATTACATTTTGGAGTCTCATAGACAACAGCTTAGTAATGCATTTAAGTGAATAATTCAACAGAGAGATAGGCCTGTAATCATCAACATATTGGGGATTATCCTTTTTTGGAATTAGAGCAATAATGGAAGAATTGACGCTCTTCAGATCTATATTGTAATGACAAAAGTCTCTGAGTAGCTTGATAAAATCATCTTTGACAATGCTCCAACATTTCTTTATAAACAATCCATTAAAGCCATCTAGTCCTGGTGCATGGCTGTTTGGTAGGTTTTTTTTTATCACTGTGTCAATCTCATCTTGACTGAAATCATCATCCAAACCATTCAAATCATGAGCCGTCAGCAAATCACTTAGATTGTAAGCCATTGTGGGAGATTCACTAATACCAAGTATGTTCTTAAATGCTGCCCATAAAAGATTGGCTTTATGTTCATGCTCAGTGAAAATGATCCCATCAGCAATGACAAAGGAAACAATGAAATTTCTTTTGTGTGAAATGGTTTCCATGGTATGTGTAGCACCTGGTTTTAAGGACAAAACCAGATACACACCATATATGAGCCCAGGAAGTCAAATCTCACATATAGCTACAAATAAAGGTAATATCAATAGACAATACTTAATATATAACATATTTAGTATAAAGGATATAACCTTATACAGCAAACAGCGAAAAGACAACTTCGATCTTCGGGTGAAGACTCCAATTCCACATGGACAACTGACTGGTTGATCACAAGCCTAATTCCTCCAAACTCTAACAATCTAGTACACATCCAGGATTTTTCCAAAGATTTAAAAAGTAAAGCAAGCGTAAGTACATGTCATACTCAACAAATATAACATAGGGTTCATGAGGCTCAAAAGGCTAACACTGGTTTAACTGCAATTAGCTTTTAATGAGTCATCTTTTAGCAATTGGGTGGCAAT